GCAGTACTTGGTGGCTTGATTCCCAGTATCTTACGAAGAAAGTCAAACTGAGCCGCAGTGATCGGCTTAGTTATCATGTCGGCCTTCATGTCTTTGATAGAGCAGTACTGCAATATCACTTGACCTCCTTCGACCTTCTCACGTACAAAGTGGTAACGTATGTCGATGTGCTTGGTTCGTTTATGAAACTTGGGATTCTTGGCCAGTGCAAGTGAGCCTTGGTTGTCTTCAAAAATCTTGACCGGATCCTCGTCTCTCATTTCGCCAAGCTCGCATAGGAACGTCTTGAGCCAAATCGCTTCTTGTGTTGCCTCTGTTAACGCCATGTACTCCGCTTCTGTTGATGACAGTGCTACCGTGCGTTGTTTCTTGCTTTTCCAGCTTATGCATCCACCGTTCATCATAAACGCGTAGCCACTTGTACTGCGTCGAGTCTCGATATCACCAGCCCAATCCGCATCCGAATAGCCTTGAAGTCCTTCTTCACTTGTTGCCTGAAATTTGATACCGAAAGTCTTGGTGCCTTGAATGTAACGTAACACACGCTTGAGTGCTTGCCAATGTGTAGGGCACGGATCTGTCGCAAATTGGCTAAGAACTCCCACAGCAGCGGCGAGGTCCGGCCTGGGTCAGCAAGCGCAACGTAATCTGCGAACTTGTCAAACACTTCAGACTTGGTCTTCAGCAGGTAGCAGGTACACAGCACAAAAATGGGAGTACTCGTCAATGAACGTGACAAAATAGCGTTTTCCACTAGATGTCGCGGTCTGCATTGGTCCACAAACGTCACTGTGAACGACTTCAAGCGCTTGTTGGGCCCATTTAAAAGAAGACTTTGTAAATCTTACACGTGTTTGCTTCCCCAGTGCGCAGCCATCGCACAGCTCCCACTGCTTTACTGACGCCAAATTGACTGCAATGTCATATCCCTTCTTAACGATGGCTTCTAGACCGCCATGGCCTATGTGACCAAGTCGAAGGTGCTAAGAGGTACGAAGTGGTGTCCTCATGGCATCCCAACGATCTTGTCACGTTGGCCTCGTCAGGTATAATAGGCTTCATGCAAAGACGAAATAATCCCTTGCCTTCACGTTCACCAAGCTTCCATCGAAGACCTTTGACCTCAGCGAAACAACCGTCGCGCTCAAAGGTTACTGGACCAACGTCCTTAGTAGAACGTCTAGCGGAAAATAAGTTGCGTGATAGCTTAGGAATGTGCCAGACAGAGGTAAGCACTCCTTTCTTCATCCCACGCGGCGTCTTCATTGACATGACAATATCGCCTGTTCCATTTGCTTGTACAACGCCGTCATCCACAAGATACACGTTGAATGGAGCAATCTTCTTATAGTTCTTCATGTACTCATTTGAATACGTCATGTGTTATGTCGCTCCAGAATTAACCAACCACACACAGCTTGACTTGGCAGCACACGCAGCATCACCAACCAAAAATAAGTAGCTGCCAGAATCATCGATATTCTGCGCAATACTCGCACGCTGTGGTCGTTGTCGATCGGCATTCTCGCAAGTTCGCGTGGGACACTTGGCAATCCAATGTCCATGTTCCCCACAGTAATGACAGGGACCATTCCTTTTTACTGGCGCTTGTCGCCATTTGCGTCTTCCAATGTCTGTTGAAACAAACGCTTAACCTTGTCCGTGCGCGGCTCCCTCGATACCGCCACCTTGTTAATTACGCTTCATATCCTCGTGTAGAAGCCGAGATGTCACTAGCTCCCACGACAGCGAGTCCACTCTTGACTCCAGCGCCGTGATAAGAAACGAGTAAGACTCACCGAGACTTCCAAGAAGCGTGATCACCAAGTCTTCTTCGCTGACCGGAGCTCCCACAGCGTCGAGCTGCTCCGCAAGCGTCTTAATCTTGTTAATGTGCTCTAGCACATCATCACCTTCACTCATCATCGTCGTGAAGAAGCGGCGACAAAGAAACAGTTTGTTCGCCAAACTTTTCTTCTCGAAATGCGACTCCAGACGTGACCATGCATCCTGCGCGCCGTTTGCTGAGCAAACCAAAGGCAGTTGCGAATCCTCCATCGCAAGACAGATTATCGCAATAGCCTTGCACGACTTCCTCTTGAACGTCGACTGCTCCAGCTAGGTGACGCAGTGTCAAACTTGACCTCCCCGGAAACAACTTCCCACAAGTCACGTTCCTCAAGCACCATTTTCATCTTGAACTTCCAGGTTTGGAAAATTGTTACGTCGAACTTGTTGATGCGGCTGGGGGCGGAAGGATCCTTTGCGAAGGCGAAGTCGTAGTCGGGGGCAGGGTCTGCGGGGCTTGGGCTCATAACCCAATGAAAAGGTACTTGAGCACTAGATGGCAAAATGCAAAGTAAGTATATTAAAGGGCC